ATTTTTAATATTTTTATACCAAAATTTCAGATAATACTCCTGAAATATTATACTATAATGTACTAGTATTATAAATAAATTTAAATTAAACAATTTTTCAAAAAAAAATTTAAAAATATGTTTAAAATATTGAAAATAAATCCTACCTCCTTAAAGGACATGCATGTATTATTGGCAATGAAGAAGTACATATGGCAGCCAAAAGTGCTTGTTTTAATCGAATAGAAGCAGCGATTGAAAGTAATAATGATTTCTTGTTGATGTCAGGAAGAAATGGGAAACTTTATACAAGAGTATATCTAATGCTCAAAACAGTCACTATTATTCAATTCATCCAACTTTCCCCAATAGCATTCCTCATCTAACATATTCTCCTTCCAAATCCTATGGTTCCAATATTACTAAAATTATAATTCTCATGGGTTGGCGATCACCATTGCGAAGGCTTCTCGATCTTCTGCAATATGGAATAATTGTCCTGCATTTGGTATCTGAGTCCATTCACGAATGTTTTTAACCAAGAAACTTGTTTTCTTCCTACACCTCTACGGTCCTCTATTTTGTCTTTAAGGATCAGTTGTAATATTTTATATCGACTTTCCCTTACTATATGTCCCAGATAAGACATTTTTCGATGTTTAACAGTCTTTAGCAGTTCTCTATCTTTGTTGACGCTCCTTAGTACTTCTTCATTAGTTTTCCTTGCTGTCCAAGGTATCTTCAGCATTCGTCTATGAACCCACATTTCCAATGCTTCAATTTTGTTTATGATCGATACTTTTAGCGTCCACACTTCTGCACTATACAAAAGCACAGACCAAACATAGCACTTAACCATTCTTTGCCTTAGTTCTAAACTGAGATGGTTATTACAAAGAAATGACTTCATTTTCATAAAAGTAGTTTTAGTCATTGCTATTCTACGTGTTATTTCCTTGTCTGGATCTAGTTGATCCTTTATCACAGTTCCCAAATATGTCATTTTGTGAATTTTTTCAACTTGGATTCCGTTTAATTGAAGCTTTGCATCGGGATGTGAGTCAAGACTAACACTAAAAATTTGGTTTTGTTTGAGTTATTTTAATGCCCATTTCCTCTCCTACCTCGTGAATACGATCAAGCAGAATTTGAATACTTTCAAATCATCTGATAGAATTACTATATCGTGTGTATATCTAATACATTAAGTAGTTCCCGTTGATTTTTATTGCACATGGTTGTCTCTAAAGTGACTTTTTAAATAACTGGTCCGAGTAAAAATTAAACAATGTTGGCGACAAAATGCAACCTTTTCTGACTCCTCATTGTATAGAGATTTCATCGGTGTAGTTATCTCCAATTTTTACAATAGCAGTTTGATTCCAGTTCAAATTTTTACTAATACGAATATCCTTGTCATCTATTCCGATATTTTTCAGTATCATGCTGTACTTTATCGAATGCCTTTTCGAAGTCCACGAAACATGCAAATACATCTTTTCTTTGGTCACGGCATTTTTGTAATAGGATGTTAAGCCCAAAAAGTGCCTCCCTGGTTCCCATAGCATTTCTAAAACCAAATTGGGTATCTTCAGATCTCTTCGCATTTGCGTCTAATTCTGTTGTGAAGTATTCTGAGGAAAATTTTAAGAGTGTGGCTTATTAGGCTAATTAATCGATATTCTGAGTATTTTTCTGGTGGGTTTTCCAGCCAACCTACTTAAAATAGGAGTATTTCAAAGCCCACTGTGACTGTAACAATACTTCAATAAAAGACTTAAAGCACATATTGTTTAAAGGTACCAAACACAGGGACCCATCCAAAAAGATATCCAAATTGTACAAACTAAACATTGTGGGTCCAGTCAAATATATCATATTTAATTGCCCCATTCAATAAATCAGTGTATGATCTAATAATTAAATTTATCAGCTTAAACATTTTTGGGTAATTACTAAAATACAATCGATACATATAAGTGGTGCACTCTTTAAAAGTATTACGATACATTTACTTTTAAGTCAGTAATATGTTATTAATATGATCTGTGGCTAATGAACGTAGTTCGAACCGAAATCTCACCTCAGCTTTAGAAACGAGACGAACAGCTATCTTGTTCTTGTACTAACAACGCCTGAAACGACCGGCGATTTAGAATATCTACGAGCGGAATCAATTTTTTAATAAGCTCGACGGTAAAAATCTTTTCATAAGAGTATCCTATAGACAAAAATAAAAAGTTGCAGCTTTCTTATGCATTTTTTGCATTTTGCCGCAAAGAAGGTCAATTTCTAGAAAACTGTTACTCGATTTTTGCTATTATTTATGTTTCTCATGAAATTAATAGAAAAATCTAAATGTATAGTAATCAATAAAGAGCCGCGTAGAATCAAACTAGAAATAGACGGCAAAATTGTAGAACAGGTAATAAAATTCAATTACCTAGGAGTAGAGATCACTAGTGATAGGGATATAAGAACAAATACCACAAGGCAAGCATCAAAAGCGGCAAGAGTAAGTGGTTGCCTTCGAGAAAACATATTGAGAAACAAATATCTGACCACGGGAAGTAAAATGAAAGTATATAAGACAATAGTAAGAGCAATCCTAACATATGCAACGGAGGCAAGGACTGATACAAAAAAGACGAAACAACAAATCAACAATATCGAAATGAAAGTATTAAGGTCACTACCGGGTATATCATTAAGAGACAGACAAACCAACATAAGTATACGCGAATGCAAAATTCAAAATATTAACAGATGGATAAAAACAAGAAAACAAAAACTGGAACGAACATATAAACCGAATGAGACCAGATAGATTAGCGAATATCTGTAAAAACAACAAACCGTATAGCAGAAGACCCATTGGAAGGCCACCAAAAAGGTGGAAAAATAATGTACAGTCATCAATGACTGAAACAGAATAAGAGGCAGACAAACAGTAGTAATCATGTCGTTTCTGGACCGGTCATTAGATGGAATTTCTATTAGAGCTAATCTTTAAAACTTATAACATCAAATTTCCACATTCATTATAACACCAAATTTAAACGTCATCAAACGACGAATACGTACAGTGATTTTAGGCATATTTCAAATGATTCATATTTGTTTCCAAAAATTAAAATCAACATTTCATGTTATGGGTTTTGAAGATTAGGTTCTAGAAATAAAAATTCTATCGTAACAGATCCATAGAAGGATAAATTTTATTGATCTCATGGAAATCGTAAAAAATTGCAAAATCACGCAACGTTTATGATTACAGCTTTATAAAAGCTGACTTTACTTGCGGTAAACTGCAAAAATTTTATACGAAACGTGCTTTATTCTTCTTAAAAACGCATTTTGATTTTTATGGATAGTACACTCCAATCAAAAGATATCGAATTTTTACCGTCAAGTTGATACAAATTTTATTTAAAAAGTTGATTTCGCGCGTAATTGACAATAAAAATCGCCGGTGGTTTTAAGACCTGAGAGGTTCATTACTAACAGGAAAACTGTCTTGAAATTCTTCTTAGACTCACTTTCTTGCTCTAAGCTGTTCTAGATCATCTTGTGATGCTTGATCCTCAACAGCCACTCTATTCTCCCAGTCACCTTCTCTGAGGTCTCTATCTATCATAGCATTTCCGACGTATGTTTTCCATCTTGTAGCAGGTCTTTCCTCTCCGTCTTCTTCCCGGCGGGTCCCAGTTTAATATTCTTTTCGGCCACCTATGCTCTGGCATTCTTTGTACATGCTCGTACCACTGCAGGGCTCTGTTTTCCAACTTTTTTGTAATTGAGCATTCTACTTCCATTCTGTTCCATATTTCCTCCGTTCTTATTCTATCCGCTCTTGTGATTTGTAGACATCTTCTCATAAAGTCCAGTTCAACTGTTCTTATTTTATTTCGTATTGTTGTTGTCATTGGCCATACTTCCGCTCCATATAGGGTAATATTCATCACTATGCTTTGAAAGATCCTCTTTTTGTTTTCTTTGGTTAGAGTGTTATTCCATATCACTCCATGAAGTGCTCTGTGGCTTGTTTTCCCGTGCTATTTTCATTTCTATATCTTTAAAGTCTTACAACTCTTAATAGTCTCTTCTTCTAAACTTAAGTTCAAATCTGCAACCTCGGGTCCAATACATAAGTATTCGGTCTTACACATATTTATCTTGAGTCCCCAAAGTTCATATTCTTCCTTTAATTTCCTTATCATATATTCCATATCCTCCCTGTCTTGTGCAAAAATGACTTGATCATCTGCGAGAAGTAGTAAATGTAATATATTGTACGCCCATTGTTCCGCATTTTCTATACCATCTTTTCAAAGCCTGATCTATATAAAAGTGTAGGTGAGAGACCACATCCCTGTTTGAGGCCTTTTGTTGCGGTGATTGTTTTTGTTATTTCATTACCTAACTTTATTTGCACTTGTGTTTCTTTATACAGTCTTTGTGTTATATTCACCCATTTCTCTCTAACGTACATTCTTCTCATTGCTTCCCATAGTTGTTTCCTGGGCACGCTATCGTATGCTTTCTCTAAGTCGATAAAGGTCATATGTGTTTCAATGTTTTTTTCTTTGTTCTTTTCAATCACCTGTCTCATAATGAATATATTATCTAAACATGATCTGGCTTTTCGGAATCCGGCTTGTTCTTCGCTATAATGGTCCATGTATTGTTCTAGTTTTTCTTTTATAACTGATGAAAAGATTCTTGCTATTGAATGCATTACACTAATTCCTCTGTAGTTATTTATTATCTTTTTTGGGTCCAAAAATTAACATTCTCAGCAAAGTTCAGTTTGTTCGTTTAATTTTTAGAGGTTCAGTGGCATTTTCGTCTCTGGCAACTGAAGTATAAAAATAAAAAAATTACAATAACACAAATAATTGAATACTAGTCACATGGCATAGACGTGAGCAAATTTTAATGATTCCTTTATATAGTACATTATTAAAATATACCCATTATTTATGTTTAATAGCTTTATTGTTTACCACTCTTAATTTTAGCTCGTGCTGCTTCTCGTATTACCTCTAAAAGGAGATCGAATTACTCAGAAAGTAATTCGGAAGTGATTCCACTAGAAAGTTAGTTTAAGGTAGGAGAAGAAGAACAATGCTACCCGAATCCTCCTCCTCGAGCTCGTAAAACCGGGACTGTAAGCAGTAAAATAAATTGATTGTTGGCGTTAGTTTATCACTTGTTCTAATCTTATTGATTCCAGAAGATCGTGGAGAGCTCAGGCGCCCGGGGGGTTAATAAACTAAACGTGATACAAGAAGGTGATATGAGTATTCCAGCTAGGGGGCGTTTATGCAAATGACTCGGAATTTGTCTTCTCTCTCGCTTTGCCGAACTTAATTTTCGCTCCATTGTACCCGAAAATTTATTGCCAGCAATAGAAAATGTGTTTCAGTTGTCAGTTTCGCCATGATCGAACTGATTTCGAACAAGGAGTTACTACGTAACAATCGGGGGAGTACGAACCCTTCGTCCTTTCCTAGGAAAGTGACTAAATTGGCGTCGTTTTAGAAACTGGCAACAAAAGACAGCTATTGAGGTAATTTGGGGTGTATTTGTTTGGATGATTTTAGTATAAATTGTACAAAATATATTAACAGAAATAACTATTTGATGTGACTTACAATAAAAGCACAATGTCAGGGCTCAAAATAGGTATACGAAAAATAAGAATTAGGATAATATATGTTCAAAAACCAAACAAAAAAAAAAATAGGTAACAAAAGAATAAATAGGGAAATATCAAGTGGGATTTAGGAATAAAATATTGTTTACTGAATGTACCAGAATATATAAAATATATGAAAAAATCTACACAAAGGCACCTATTGTAGAAATCTCTAAACAGACTTACAGGAAATATCATAGATCATGTCATTGTTGACTACAGACGACATAATGGCTAAAATTTCAAATTTAAAAAGGGAAAAAAAGGCCTGTATATAAACGATACCTACGGTATTAGATGGCTTAAAGTTAAAAACAAAATGTGAAATATGAAAGAACCATAACGAATAATCAGAAAGCAGAAAAAGGATGAAAGTATAAATAAGGAATGCGAAATCTGCAAAAACGTTATAAAGAAGCGTATAGAAATCTAAAAAAACCGAACAAATAATGGTTTAACGAAAGATGTCAGAGAAAAACAGAGCATATGTGCGGATGCAAAAGCCACAAGAAACTAAGCAAGTGAAAAAAGGAATATGTTACATTTAAAATTGTCTATACATCAATTTATGTATAATAGACAAGCAAAAAATAGTGTTTAACCCAGCCTAAGAGACTTGCACATCCCTTACGCATGACATTTGGGTGATAAAATTCATTGGAGCGAGAATGATTAATTTGTTTAAACATTGATCACTCCACACCGCCCCAATGCTCCAGAACATCCACTTCCCCCGATAGTACCCTAATGCGCTATAGAGGCTCATTTATCAGCAACTTGTCTTAACAGTTTTTTTTTCTTGGTTGCCGAAACCGAAGCGTTTTTTAGGGTTTAAAACGTATAAAATCAAAATTAATAAATACACTACGATGCCAAAGGTGATCGTGTTAAAGTGAAGTCGTTTTACCCTGTCGTATTTCGGATTAACGCCCGAAAAATTATTTATGACTCTAGTTACAGCCACTCTGTTATGCTTTCCCTTTTCTACCTGCTTTGTGGTACTGAACCTCCTACTGGTCGGCTGTAGTACTTGAGGATAAATCAGCGCTACCAAAACAATTTTTTTATAAATCGTGAAAAAACGCAAATTGAATGCTTTGTAATGATAATTTATTGAAAAAACTTTTATAACTTTATTCCTTGCGGTCGCATAACTGGATAATTTTAGTTGTTATATTTGCAAAAACAGTAAACAGTCTGCGGAGTCGAGGCTCTCCATTGACCGGACTCATCGGCCAATAACCGACGCGCCCTGCCACCGAGGCCCCGCCCCCTCGTTTATATATTCAAAAAGCTCCGAAAAATCTCGCTAGTATTCAACGATCGCCGGTTTTCAATAGTGACAATGGATAACGTACAAGAAAACGATAGAACACCTAAATATAAGTTTTTATCTCCGCGTGAGCGTCGAATTGTGTTGAAAGTGGAAAATTATTTTACTTTAGAAAAAATCAACATGGGACCAATTACATCAGTACTGGCAGTTCAAAAAAGGACAAGTGCAGCTTGTGGAATTTCAGAACGGACCTTGCAAAGAGTTCGCAAAATGAGTGAGGAGGAATTAAGTAAGGAAAATAAAAGGATTCGTTTGCATCCGAAAACCCTCGACTTCCCACAAGGTATTAAAATCTCAATCAGAAATATCATTTATGACATCTTCTTCTTCTTCCTTTGCCCTATCCGTTTCGGACGTTGGCTATTAACAAGGCTATTTTGACTTTGTTTACGGCACCTCTGAACAGTTCGGTCGATGTTAGTCCGAACCATTGTCGCAGGTTATGCATCCATGAGTGTCGTCTTCTTCCCGGTCCCCTCCTACTGTCGATTCTTCCTTGGACTATTAACTGTAGCAGCCGGTACTTAGTATGCCTCATGACATGTCCGAAGTACTCAAGCTTCCGTTTCTTTACGGTGAAGATTATTTCTTTGCTTTTGCCTATTCTCTGCATTACTTCCACGTTAGTGATGTGGTCTGTCCAGGATATCCGAAGAATACGGCGATATATCCACAGCTCAAAGGATTCTAGTTTCTTCAGGGTGGCTTCCGTTGTGGTCCATGCCTCTGCTCCATAGAACAAGACCGGGAAGACATAACACTTGACCAGTCTTAATTTTAGTTCCATTGAGATTTTGCTTGTGAACCACTTTTTCATATTGTTGAACGCGTTTCGCGCTTTTTCAATTCGTGATCTTATTTCTGTTGACTGGTCCCATTTTGTGTTGACTGTGGTTCCAAGGTATGTGTATGTCTCCACTTGTTCTATTTTTCGGTTGTTTAATGTCAATTGCATCGGAGGTTGTTGTGTTCTGCTGATGAGCATGCATTTAGTTTTGGTTGTATTGAGTTCTAAACCATATTCTTGACTTGCTGTGTGTATGCTTTGCATGAGTCTTTGAAGCTCGTTGCAGTCATTTGCGATAATAACTGTGTCGTCAGCATATCTAATATTATTGATTACCTCTCCGTTTACTTTGATACCCTCCGAAACTTCTCCCAGTGCTTCTCTGAAGATTTGTTCAGAGTATATATTGAACAGGAGCGGCGAGAGGACGCATCCCTGTCGTACACCCTTTTTAATATCTATCTTCCCACTGTGTAAGTTGCCCATCTTTATCTCAGCACTTTGGTTCCAATAGAGACTGGTTATTATGCGCAGATCCTTGCCATCAGTATGCATCTTCCTGAGCATTTCCATGAGTTTATCATGTTTGACCTTGTCAAACGCCTTGGAGAAGTCGATGAAGCACAAGTCGACGTCCTTGTACATGTCTCTGCATCTTTGAATTAAAACTTGTTAAAACCATTTAAAAAAACAAGAATTCCGAATTTGCCAGATAATTTGTGTTTCTTGACGAAACATGGATTTTTGTAAAAGAAAATAATACCAAATCATCCTGGCAAGACGATTCTACCAAATGATATTTGAGTACTAGTGCGAGTAATGGCAAAAGATATTATATTTCATGCAGGAAATATGGAAGGTTTTATACCCAATGCTAGTCTTATATTTTTTTCGAAAAAAAAAAATTGATGATTACCACGGAAATATGGACGCCGATATTTTTGAACATTGGTTTAGAAAAAATTATTAAATAGTCTGGAAAATCCGTTATTAATAGTCTTAGACAATGCTTTGTATCACACAAGAGAGGAGCAAAAGTTTCCCACAAGCAGCTGGAAAAAAAGAAGACTTAAGAAAGTGGCTGTCGGAGAAAAATATAGAACACAAACATCTAGTTTTAAAAGCTGAATTATTAAATAAGTGCAAAGAACACATTACTGAGAAAAAATTTGTCGTTGACCAAATGGCACTAAAATATGGTCATGAGGTCCTAAGACTACTAACATATCACTGCCAGTACTATCCAATTGAATTGGTGTGGGGCATCACTAAAAACTACTAGAGTCATATGAAATAGAACAAGTTATTGATGAAGTAAGACCTTTAATTATTCGTAGAGATGAAGATTAAGATGAATCGGATAGCGAGTCAGATAGTGATGATACCTGTCCATAGATTAAGACGTATATAGAAAAATTAACACAAAAGGGTACTAACCACCAAAAAAAAATTAAACAAAAACTGCATACAGGAGAGAGCCGGAGGCACGCCGCACGACGCTCTTGCATGCAAGTACAAAAAAAATTAGCAAGTAAGGTAGATTAAGGACATGACTGGACGAATGACTGGGTATTAGACGACGGATGAAAGGATTCGATGCTTGCTCGTTCTCAACTGCACTTGGTGCAGAAAAGCACAAAAAAAAATAACACATACAAAAACTAGGGGAAACAGACGCACAATTGAACTAAAGGATAATATTGAATCTGTAGAAAGTTTCACATGTCCGGGAGTTACATTAAACACAGACGAAATAGAAAAACCAGAAATTCTAAAAATAGTAAAAGAAAATAAAGCTTACTTTTTACTCGACCATATGTTTCTCCACAAAAACACACACTGGAGGTCGAAAATCAGGGTTTAGAAGAATATTACCAGAGCAATACTATGTTATGAATGCGAGACGTAGGTGATAACAGAAGATACAAAACGAAAGCTGGAAGCCTTTGAACGAAAAGTCCAATTACATATTATTTAAAAGACCCAGATATTTTTACATATTAACGAAAACTGACTATGGAGATCCATGTACAACCATGAACTAACTCTATTAACTGTTAAAAGAGACACCGATCCCAGAATTCCTCAAACTTCAGAGACTTCGATGGACTGGTGACGTAGTGAAGATGGAGATCGGAAGATTGCCAAATAGAGCCCTAGATAGTAAAATGCAGGAAGCAAGACGAAAAGGAAGGTCACGGAAAAGGTGGGAGGATGAAATGGCATCGAACGCATAAAATTTTTTAGACATGAGAACTTGAAG